AACCTGCAATATGTCGTCATCGTCATCATTTCAACCACTATCCGTTCGGTTATACATATAATATATATATATATAATTGCTGACACATAGGCCTCTCCCATAGACTGCCATAAATAACGGTCCTGAGCCACCTTTATATCCACATAAGACTTATTCCTCTTGCAATTTCCTTTACGCATTTCACGTTCCCTTCCATTTTTCCTCAATCCTTTCCTCCAAATCGTAGGTGGGGGAACCACCAACAAATGCATTCTTGCTTAAAACTATAACTAAATCGTTTTTTTAATATGACCGCCCCAAATAATAATTGGAATAAGGGTAGGAAGGTGGTGATGAAAAACTGATATAATTAATTAATTATAACGAATACGTGGTGCCACGGCATAGAATGATGGAAAGTGAGAGTAATCGTAGCGTCCCCTTTTAAAACATTTCCAAAGCATAACATGAGCAGTGTTCAGCAGTGGACATGGACATAACAGAGAATACTGTTTCGCCCATGATACCCCCCATGCGTTGCCATTCCTGAGGACTCAGGTGTTATTCCTCTGTACCCTGTAAATTCACGCTATATCCCATATTTCAAACCGAAACACAGCCAATCAAACACAACTGCTTCACGGTAGAAACACGAATGGGACAGAGGTACCCAAGCAATTGACTTTTGTACTCCTCTGGTATGATGATAATGATGATGATGAACTATTATTAGCGAAACATTTGTATATTAATTATAATTAAGATTGAGTTCCATAAAAAACCTATGTACTTCAATAGTGGCGAAACTAGTGTTTTTTATTTTTATTTAATAACAAAACTGTTGAACCAAATTTGATAAAATTATCAATAGAAACAGTCGTCCGAATGGGCGGTAATAAAAAGATGACTATTCAAAAATGCTTAAATCTAAGTTTACTTGAATATTATATAAGGTATGTAATTTTTTTTCTTTTTTCTTTCAGAGAGCAATCTCTCGATTACGATCGTAACCTTCGTTCCAATAAAGCTCTCCAACTATCTTTCCCCTCTCACCGTACTGGTTACGCTTCAAAGTCTTTTCTCCTACATTCTTCACGACTCTGGAACGCGCTTCCTGACGCCATTAAGAGACTACCGACTAAACCATCTTTCATAAAAAAAAAACGTTCACGCTTACTTTTCTACTTTATCCGACCAGTAAGTGCTTTATATTATTCTCAATTTCGTGTATAATATAGTATATATCATATATGTATATTTGTTATTCATATATATTTATTAGTTTATATATGTAATTTTAGTATGTATGTATATCAATAATTAGTAGTACCGCATTCGAGTATTCTGACACTTCCCTATGGTTGACTGGGAGAGAATGCTTTTAGCATTAAGTACGCCATGTACACATATTTGTACTAATGAATAAATAAGTAAAATAAATCTCTTAAAGATTGCTTTCCTCTTTTCAGATAAAAAAGAATTATCCGAATCAGTTTACAATTGACGGAGTTATAAGGTAATAAAATTATTAAAAAAAAACACAATTACATTGAGCGTTCCTTCTTTCTGAAGTCGGTTAAAAAATTAAAAAAAAAAGTATTCTTTGTGATGAAGTGATCCACTTCTTTTATATTTTTTAAGTGGAGTAAAACCAATTAGTTGGCTGTTAACCGTGACACGGTCCGTAAGTAAATCAAATGTTATATAATAAAGTAAGTTACATAACCGGACGGTTCATTCTCGGCGTGGCGACGCGGCGCCGGTACGAGATCGTCGGTCGTGCAAACCGTAGTACCAACGGATAATTTAACCGTCAAACATTCACCTCAATACCTCAACGGTGCAGTTTGTTTTAATAGAATTTAACAATAAGCGTAGCAATATCTGTATAGAATTTAGTCCAATAATAATGCTGTTTTATGTAATATTTATTTTATTAATGTATTAAATTCTTTTCCTTTTTCATTCCCTTGAGTAATATTTTTTTTGTATTTTTCTAATTGAATTCTCAAATCTTAAAATCATTAAACGAAATGTCTAATGTAAGTAGTATATTCATTTATTTTAACATTTATTATATAAGTAGGTAGGTATTATATGTATTTATAGTGTATGTATTTATGTAATATTTTATTATATATTTTAATATTTTATTTAACTGTATATTTGTTTATGTATTAATAGTTGTAGCACTTCAGCTGCCCGCTAACGTAATGCTTTCTCACTGTACTGGGTTGACTGGAAGAGATCTCTGTCAGAGATAAGTCCACCCTTGCTCACAACATGTATAAATACATTATTTTATATGTAACCTACAAGCGCAATAAAGAATATATATATATATATATATATATATATATATATATATATATATATATATATATATATATATATATATATATATATATATATATATCTTAATCTGTTGCCTTGCTATAAATAAATAAATAACGAATATGTTAAAAAAGTCTATTATCCAAAAAATTATATTAGATAACAGACTTTTAACATATTCGTAAATAGATATCCGACCGATACGGGCGATATCGAAATAGGTAAGGAGTTTTTTTAATGGAATCATCCATTAAAAAAATAAACTGGTAACACCGCCCGCGCTCTCAGTATACACCGACGGGGCACCAGTGAGGGATGATAAGTGAGGATGAAGCAGCTCAGTTGGCCCATCGAATTTGATAATAATTAATCATGATATTTTCCAAGGGTAACCGCGTGGAGGTCGACCTCTGGTATATTGATAGCAATGGAGACTAACCAAACAAGTTAGTTGATCCTTCGAAACCAATTCAACAAGAATTAACCAGGATGATTCCTGGGTCAACTTGGAAGGTTGTATTGCTAGCAATGGGGCTGTTAGATCGCTTTATCTATAAACTCTTTCCCCCTACAACCGAGGGTCACTTTCCATCAGGTGGGCCGTCAGCTTATTTGCCGTCTCGAGTTGCATAAACAAATCCCAGATAATCGACACTCAGTCATTGGCTAGCGTAAAAAATTACACTTTAAATTTGTCGTTACCATCGCCAGAACACGATTTGCGACAGTGCCCCGCGTTATGTAACGTGCTATTTGGTTGGAGTCTACCACTTTGTTTTTCGCTTCGTACTCTAGTTTCCATATCAATAAAAATTAAACGCTAAATGATAAAAAAAAATCTCGACAACGGCTGAGATAATTCAGGATTTTTTCAAACATTCGTTGAAGGAAAGAAATTCCATTTATAAAAGGAATATAAAAGGAATTCTATTCATAAAAGGAAGGCTTTTATGAATAGAAAAATTTGGAAAAAAAAATTACGAAAAAAACGTAGGTATGTAATGCCCCATTTTCATTTTTGTTACACAAATTGTTCCTAGCTTGGATGGACTTTTTTTTTATGGGTGAAAATGGTATGGTGACTCCGCCTGCGCTAACGGGATACGCTGGCGGAGCACCAGTGAAGGGTGATAGATGAGAATGAAAACAGGCCAGTTAGCCCATCATGATGAATTCATCAGGAATTAACCATGATAGTTTCCAGGGGGAACCGCGAGGAGGTCGACCTGGTTGGGTATATTGATAGCAATGGGATTCTCGGTCTCCATTACTAACAATCCCTTTCCCCCAGCTTGGATGGACTACTAACAGTTACACTTTCTCTTTTCGGGTACACTTTCTCCATTCGGGTTCTCAAGGTTGACTGGAAGAAGTCTCTTTGAGGGATAAACCCGCCTATTTACATTTTTGTTATAACCTAATATCTGTACTATAAGTAAATGTACAGAAATATATAAATATATAGGTTTTGTTGTCTAATAGGTTTATCCTGAACGACGCGAGATCTGTGGGGTGAGCCAGTCCTGTTGTTATATATTATTATAATATGTATGTATGTATAATGTAAAATGGTCGTGTGATCCCGGCCTATGTGCCTACGTCTAGGAACCACGTGGGGAATGGTAGCTCGAATTACTAACAATCCTCCTCCCCCCCACCCCCACCTAAAATATTATAGGCCACACCTTCCTTTCCCGTGGGTGTAGTAAGAACTGACTAAAGAAGGGCGATGGATGGGCAGGAGCGTCCCTCTTAAAAAACCTCTAAAACTTGACTGCGGTTGTCAATCCGCCTGCCAAGCGTGACAACTATATACTTATTTTGACAGTGAACGGTTAAAGTCTGATATATATATATATATATATATATATATATATATATATATATATATTATGTAAGGTAATAATGAGTGTTGGACATAAAATGTATATATTTTTGAACTACGTTGCACCGTCAACTACATTATCCGTTGTTCCTGTCTACGGTCCACTGGTAAATAATGCCATATGGTATTAAGTCCGCCATTTATAGTTTCAAGGATTAATAAAGTTTAATAAATAAATAAAAAAAATATCTCTTCATAATAATAATTTAAATTCAATACCACTGCAGGTATTAATCAATCATACAGTCCACCTACGGCCGTACAATAAACGGTTACCATAACTTTATTTATTATTAATCCGATTAGACAAAAGAAATAAGGTAAAATTGCTGTTTGTATTGCAACTAGGCAAATAAAAAATTATATCAAACCTAAATATTTTTCTGCCATAGCCTAGGAAAACGCATAAAAAGAAAATAAGTCAGTCACCTCTTTTTAATCTCAACCAAATAATATGCAGGTAATTTTACCTAAAAAACAAAACAAGAAACACGACAATAGTAAAGATTATACGTTTTTTAAAACTTCGATAGTACATTATTGCGCCATCTACTTTGCAGTAGCAAATGGAGAGTAGCTTCCTATTCGTGTGCTTTGCTGCTCCTCAGTAGATGGCGCAATAAGTCCATAAATACGAAAGTGTGAAAATAATTTGTGTATAATAGATACAATAGCATTATTTTGACATTAAATATTTTATTCTTTATAGAATTAATAATGATCCCTAGATATATCTAATACTATTTTAATTTGTATATTTGAATCTTAAGTATAATATTAAACTTAAATGTTACAGCGTCATCTAGTTTTCTTTTTACGAAATTTTAAAAAGCAAAGAACGCTTAGCTTTAGGCTACAGATACAAAGATGGCGGTGAATATTGTTTCATTAAAATGAATAATAATTATTGTTTCATGAAAAATTTATTAAATTAAGCACTAAATATTGCTAATGTAAGCAACAAACGCTTCGATACTCTCAGTTAGTTCGGTACTAGTCGTATTGTGAAGGAGTTCCGCACCATCGTTTAGTATGATCTCTTTCAGAGCCAACGTCCGTAAAATCTTATCAGCTTCATTATCGCCATCTTCTATAATTATTTCGTATAATAGATTGGTTAAATTTATTTGATCCATAGCTTTGTCGTCTAAGATACTAGGGTTGATATCGGCTTTTGATAATGTTCTGAAATTTTAATAAATACCTAATAATAAATTATATATATATATATATATATATATATATATATATATATATATATATATATATATATATATATAAACTGGTTCACTCCCCACTAGATGGCGTTACGACTTTAAATGCATTAGGTCAGGAACTCAGTGGATACAGGTGGCTCAAAACCATTCCTTATGGTAGTCTATGAGGAAGGTTTATGTTTAGCAGTGGATAGTCAACAACTGATATGATGATGACCATGATACATGACCTACATAATGTCTAAGTAAACAATGTGGATGCTTCTTTCACATTTGTGTTTCTGCCACAAAGCAGCTGTGTTTAATGGCTGTGTTTCGGTTTAAAAGGTGGGATATGACAGTGAAATAATAGAGTACTGAGGCATAATATATTAATGTCGTTAAGAATGGCAACTCATGAAATCTTTCATTCTCACCTATCATCATTCACTGGTGCCCTGGCAGCGTATACCGTTAGCGCAGGTAGGGTACCATTCTATTATCACCCATTAAAAAAAAGGTATCTTTAGAAATTTTCACATTTATAAAATAAGTAGTAGGCTTACTAACCTGCGTGTATCAAATCCAACTTCTCTGAGCTTCTTTTTGGCTAGTTCTATGAAGGACGGGGACTTGAGTGTCTCCCGGAGCCAAATTTTTATTTTATTCTTTTTATCCTCTACGCGAGCTTTAAACCTAAAGAGTGGGAAAGAGAGAGATACAATTTTCATTATTACAAATTTGTAATACAATAGGAATACTATATCAGCGGCTAACACTGTTTTTTTTTTATACAACTTAGAATGGTAAACAAGCTGACGGTCCACCTGATAGAAAATGATCATCTATAGACATCAACCATCAACTATAGACATGAGCCGTACCATGGACATAACAGAATATACTGTTTCGCCCATGATACCCCCCCTGCCATTCCTGAGGACTCAGGTGTTATTCCTCTGTAAGTAAATTCACGCCATATCCCACCCTTCAAACCGAAACACAGCCATGCAAACACAACTGCTTCACGGTAGAAACACGAATGGTACAGAGGTACCCAAGCAATCGACTTTTGAACATAAGCCTCACCTATAAGGGGGGTTTTGTTAATAGTTGCCACCCTTGACAAGCGAATTGGCAGCAGTTAGGTATTGGTGATGTTTTAAGAGCGACGCTACTGGCCATCCCTCTAAGAAACAAAGAAATATGTTTGTTCAAGTAAACTTAGTTTTAAGCATTTTTAAATTGTAATTTTTCCTCTTTAGTTTCCTTAGTCGCCTCTTTCGATACCCACGGGAAAAAGAGGGTAGTCTACTCTATGCCGGGACCACACGAATTGCAATACGAACAGAAACGTAAGAGTGAAATTTATTTGAAACTAGCGGCCCGTCCCGGCGTCGCACAGGGGACATTTTTACATTTTAAAAAGTGGCCATTAAGGCTGCACACGCGACGGAAGCTTAAAAATGGAGTAACTTCTCCCATTTTCCCAACATTTCCCTTCACTGCTCTGCTCCTATTAATCGTAGCGTGATGAAAAGTATACTATAACCTGCCCAGGAGTATGAAGAATAATTGTACCAAGTTTCGTTAAAGTTCGTCGAGTAGTTTTTGTTTCTATAAGAACTTACAGACAGATAGACCAATATTTTCTGATTGCATTTTTGGCATCGGTATCGATCACTAATCACCCCCTGATAGTTATTTTTGAAATATATTTCATGTACAGAATTGACCTCTCTATAGATTTATTATAAGTATAGATAAATACATAAATTAATTCATTCGTAGATTACAGAAGAAGGCTTCCTCCATAAATTGACACAAAACAGATCCAAAACAGTCTCGAGTCACCTGCATCCACTGACTCCCTGGTCTACATTTTGGATTATAGCTTCACCCAACAAGGAAGTTTTATACTGCATTTGCTGGTAGGGGGAGCGACCCAAATAACAACTTGAGAAAATATTTTCCCCTATTGCTTCTCAGTTTTACAAACTGTATGGCCACTTTAGCTTGCTTATCCTTCTAGCTATGCGCTGCTTCTTTTTCCTCATATCCTCATAGCTAAAGGACTTGATTAAGATACGCAACCTGTGCCACTACCCCTTTCCAGATCGCACACTGAGAATCCCATTACTGCAATATACCCAACCAGACCTTCTCGCGGTTCCCCTGGAAACTATCATGGTTAATTCCTGATGAATTCATCATGATGGGCTCACTGGCCTGTTTTCATTCTCGTCTATCACCCTTCACTGGTGCTCCGCCAGCGTATCCCGTTAGCGCAGGCGGGGTTACCATACCATTTAAATACCATTTTCACCAATCAAAAAAAAAAATAAGACCGCACTATTTTGTGTTTTGTGGATGGGCTCTTGCAAGGTAGCTCCAGTGATCGTTCGGCCTTCACTCCTCTTTCCCTCCACACAGCTGCCCAAGATTACCTAGCTATATTAATCACTTTGAGTCTTCTGCAGACATGTTTATTTCCGACTATAGAATCCAAGCAAAAATTTAAAAAATGAAAGTAAAACTTATTTTAATTTTGTTGTTATAAAGTCACAGTTTCTTCTTTCCAACCGACAAAAAATTCTATCGAAAGCGGTTTAGTAGTTTAGTTTTTAAATCAACATAATTGATTTTCTGTTTAACTGGAAGGTTCTTGAGTGGTGACCGCGTACGGGTAAAAGTAGTGTAAGACAACCCCCCAGATAGAGTGACTAGAGTGACGCCCTGTAATGCATTGCAGGGAGTCAATAGATGCGGGTGGCTCAGGACCGTTCTTTATGGCAGTCTATGTGGTAGGCTTAAGACCAACAGTGGACGGATAATGGCTGACATGTCGATAACAAACTAATTTTCGTCTTAATAATGTAAATGGGTACTCACTTTTGTAACTCTTTTTCCCTCTGCCTCGCCTTCTTAATCTTAGGTATCAATTCAGGCTCTTTATAAGCTTCGTTTGAGGTGATAGTTTCTTCGACCCAGTCGGTGACTTGTGACACACGACTGTAGACTCCGGGAGACCTCGGGTCCCCACACTGCTTGCCACCAAACGAAACGATCCCTAGCAGGACCCCATCGCGGACCGCTGGTCCACCGGAATCATGCTGGATTCAAAAAATGTGTTTTTTTTTATGCAACACAAAATTGCAAATAAATTTACGGCTTAAATGGTTTTTGACCATATGTATGGCCAAGGAGTGGAACTCTGTCCCTGCTTATACATAACAATACTTTGCATAGTACATAAGCAGTGATATTAATAGGGTTCCCTTCTAGTCAATGGATTGTGCTCAGAGGAATTGTTCAATATGATGCCCACAGCTACTTTCTACTATCGTACGGCACCCCATCGACAGGGAGTTCATCCTCATGTCCTACAGCTTCAATGGTCACGTACTGCGCGGTTTCAGAGATGTTTCCTCCCATGAATACTCAGGTTATGGAATGAGCTCCCTGCCGAGGTTTTTCCAAGAGACTACAGCATGGGGTTCTTCAAAAAGGTAAAGAGGTTTCTTCAGAGTCAGCAACGCGCGTGTAATTCCTCTGGTATTGCAAGTGTTCATAGGCTATGGTAACCACTTACCATCAGGTGGGCCGATTACTTGTTTGCCACCTCAGTGGTATAAAAAAAAAGTCTACGATATTCTTATCTTCTTGACCGTTCTCATATATGATACAGCACCTTCTGGATCAGTCTAGGTCGATATACACACAACGGTCTAAACTTCTAGAAAGAAACAGAAGAAAAATCATACATTACAAGCATCCTTTCCGCCGGTCGCGTACCCGGCGCACAGCATTCTAGAGGTGATATAAAATCGGTACGCCTTCTGGCAGTCGGACAAGCTCATAACCGGTACGGGTACAAAGCGTAACCGATCAGGGATGTGACCGAATCCGGACTCCTAGAAATAAGCCGTTATTTTTTTTTTACAACACAGGGGGCAAACGAGCGTGCGGCTCACCTGATGGTAAGTGACTACCGCCGCCCATGATCACCCACAACACCAGAGGCATTGCAGGTGTGCTGCCTACCTTTTAAAAAGGAATATACTCTTTTCTTGAAGGTTATGTTATCGTATCGGTTCTGAAATACTGCTGCTGGAAGTTGATTCCAAAGAGTGGTTGTGCGTGGAAGAAAGTGCCTTGAAAAACGCACGGTGGAAGACCGCCACTCGTCCAGATAATTGGGATGAAACTTTAGTTTGTGGCGGGTTGTACGGTGGTGAGAATCAGCAGCAGGTATCAATCCGAACAATTCCTCAGAACACTCCCCATATTAAAATGGCTCCCAATTCGTCAACGTCGTGATTTTCATCTTTTATCTTTCCTGTATTCTGTACTGTATAATTCTTCCTCTCCATCTTATCTTTGTGAACGTTTCACTTTCCTTGACCCCACTGGCATGTCCAGTAGGTCGAGTAAATCCCTTATTCTTAAAATCCCTCCTCAACCTCCTCATGCTATAGTGGATCATTTACGGTTCATGCGGCTAGACTATGGAACTCTCTTCCACTGCATATTCGTGAAAGTCAATCGCTGAATATATTCAAGAGCAGATTAAAAGAGCATCTTCTGTCCTCATAAACTTATTATGTCTATGTATGTATATGTACCTATTTTTTTGTATGTAAAGAGATATTTTATGTCTATGTATATATGTATATGTATACAGATATGTATTTATTTTGATTTTAATTGTATGAGTTATTTATGTAGTCAACATATTTCATATGTTTTAATAGAAACATCAATAATGTTTCCTTCTATTATTGTACGCATACTGCCCGCTAATAAATAATTAATGCTCCTTTCCACTCAGGGTTTGCTGGAAGAGAACTCTTACAGAGTTAAGCTCGCCTATTGTACACCTTTATTTTATATATATTATATGTAATATTTTTTTTTTGTGTACAATAAAGAATAAATAAATAAATAAATAAATTCGGTAGAAGATGCACAGAGATGTAACATCTCTGCGCAGTTTCAGTGGGTCGAGTAAAATACCGTTCCATTAACACTTTCAATAAAGAATTTCTTGACTTAGATCCCTTTTATGAATCTTTTCATGTTTTTAAAAGTAAATTAACTCAAAAACTTTTATGTTTAAATTAAATAGGCGCTTCTTCTTTTTTTTATTCATTTTTTATATTAAATTTCTTACGTGTTTCCATGGGACTTAATGAATAATAACTCTATGTTTAAAATACTGTTATTGGCACTGTAACGTCTATTGTTGTAAAACTGTAATGTATATTGTATTAATATTTTGTAAATGACTGTTTGTTGCCATAAATAAATAAATAAATAAAATAGTCCATTTGTACGTCTGTGTGAGACAATCTCTGTACTGTTAATTCGACTCTGAAAATGTCCATTTTCTTCTCCCTTTTGTTTTTTAATAAGTATATTATTATTTTGTTGTTGGCAATAAATTGTTTTCTTTATTTTTTTATACAACTTAGAATGGCAAATAAGCTGACATGAGCAGTATCATCTAACTTAAATTCTGGTGTATGTTTTGTCTTGATACGTCCCATTGCTAGCAATATACCCAACCAGGTCGACCTCCACGTGGTTCCCCCTGGAAACTATCATGGTTAATTCCTGATGATAGGCTAACTGGCCTGTTTTCATTCTCATCTATCACCCTTCACTGGTGCTCCGCCAGCGTATCCCGTTAGCGCAGGCGGGGTTACCATACCATTTTCACCCATAAAAAAACCATTATGGTTTCCAGGGGGAACTACGTGGAGGTCAACCTGAGAGAGTATATTACTAGCAATGGTGTTATTAGACCTCATTACTAATAATCCCTTTCCCCCCTGCAGTGGATGGTCATTAACGTCCAGAAGAATTCGTTATATAGATTACTTTTTTTTTACAACACAGGGGGCAAACGAGCATGCGGCTCACCTGATGGTAAGTGACTACCGCCGCCCATGATCCCCCATAACACTAACGGCAATGTAGGTGTGCTGCCGACCTTTTAAAAGGGAATATGCTCTTTTCTTGAAGGTTACGTTGTCGTATCGGTTCGGAAATACTACTGCTGGAAATTGATTCCAAAGAGTGGTTGTGCGTGGAAGAATGTGCCTTGAAAAACGAACGGTACTTATCTCTATTAATAACTCACATCAGTGCTGCCCCAGCCAGTGACGATTAGGATATCGCCTTCCTTCATGACGTAGTCCCTAGAGGGCAGATTGAGCACGGCTATGTTGCGACCGATCGGCATGGGTCGGTCCAGGCGCAGTAACGAGTAGTCGAAGTCGGCACTTCCCGGAACATAATTTTCGGGGAAGAAAACCTACAAGACAGAGCAGATAAATGTATTTTAATAGATGAAGAAGAAAATATAGAAGAGTAAAGGGGAAGAATTTGGCGTGAATTTACAGGGTACAGAGGAATAACACCTGAGTCCTCAGGAATGGCGACGCATGGGGGGTATCATGGGCGAAACAGTATACTCTATTATGTTCATGGTACTGCTCTTGTCTATAGGCGACGGTTACCACTTTCCATCAGGTGGGCCGTCAGCTTGTTTGCCATTCTAAGTTGTATATAAAAAAAAGAATAATTGTTCGAGTTCTCCATTTTGATAGAATAGAAAAAACCTTTAGTCAAATGTATTTTTTTTAAATGATGATAATGGAATGGTAGCCCCGTCCGAGCTATCGGTATACGCTGGCGGAGCACCAGTGGGGGATGATAGGTGAGAATGAAAAAGCAGGTGAATATTCCACCCTTCAAACTGAAATACAACTATGCAAACATAACTGCTATACGGTTGAAACACGAATGGGACAGAGGTACCCAAGCAATCGACTTTTGTACAAACTTTCCCTCCCTGTTCAGCAGTGAGCAGTTAACGGCAGGTATGATGATGAAGGTGATTGTGAAGATGATGATGATACTTACTCTATTTATCCGAGCTTGGTACCCTCCGCGATTGTGGAACGAACTCCCTGCTCTTACGACGAAAGGCTGCAATTTTCTTTTATCGCCATCAAATGCCCTGAAATTGTTCACATCGTTCTGAGCGAATACAGAAGTAATATAGGTTATGAATACGATCAACCGAAAAGAGAACTTTATTCTTAATAGCTGACCACACTAAGCTCGCTCACTAAGTGCTTTTCACCGCTACGATCTGAGGTTACAGGATGAAAGAAACACGACACAGTAAAGGCCATTCTACATTGTTGTTCTCGTAAGAGATAGGAAACTTGTTTGTTTGCGTGCGCTGACGATTTACTGTGTATCAAACCCTTAAGTCTTAGGCGAGATTTTGCCTCTGCGTGTTCTAACGCTTGACAACGAAAAGTGCTCAGAAGAATTGTTCAATTTAATACCCATGGCCAAATTCTACCATCGTACAGCTAAACTCCATCGACCGTAAATTCAGCCCCATACCTTAGAGACTAGATGGTCGCGTACAGTGCGATTTCAGAGATGTTTCCTTCCACGAATGCTCAAGGTATGGAATGAGATTCATGTGGAGGATTTTCTAAGAAACTAGAGTTTTCAAAAAACAGGTAAAGAGATTTCTTCAGGGAGGTTAACGCGCGCATAATACCTCTGGTGTTACAGGCGGTCATAGGCTACGGTAACCGCTTACCATCAGGTGAGTCGTATACTTGTTTGCTAACTCAGTATTATAAAAAAAGTATAAATGCAGTTGTTAGCCCATACTCCTTGTTGCCCTTCATCCTATGTTCCTTTAGAAAAATCATTCAGTTTCAAAGGAAGTAATACTCCCTTGAAAGGATGTTAAAAAATCGACTGTAAACTGTAAATGGAAGTCAATCTGTAAATGGAAGTACTTACGAATCTAAACAATGCCCAGCAGTTAACACCCACTGCTCATCAATGATAGAGCCTCCACACCAATGCTTTCCATTTCTGGATATGGCTACGTTATAAGGGTACATGCTAATGCTGGTCTCCATACCGCCAACTATCCTTCGCACAGCATACGAGCGGAATGTCCAAGCTATATGGCGATCATCTGGCCCCTCTTTGAATACTGAAAAAATCTGCTTTTAAAATTCGAATTTCGTTCTTCTACTGTTATATCACGCTTATTTTTCTTGATACTAAAATAACGCCATCTAGTGGTGTACATTATATTTATAATTCATGACGTCACAAGATAGGCGCAACGCCGACATACACAGACCAGCAGTATAAGTCGGCTTCAAACCCAGTGACCCGAAGTTTGTTGCCTCCGGAGTTGAAGCCGGGGTAGTGGAGTACGCCCCGAGGCCCCTACCTCGCCCGCCCACACCATCTGGCGGGCAAAGAGAAGCCTTGTTGTTGTTATTCTTGACGCCACAAGAACAGAAGTTTTACGAAGAGGGTAATTTTTGTTTATTTAAAACCAATAATTATTTCATTAGTTGTAAATAATTCCTCCATTAATAACAGTTCTAAATCACTCGCATGTAATAGCTCTCTGCAACACATCTGAATCTCTTTTAGAAATAGGCCCACCCTTGCTAAAAAGTTGTTAAAATAATTGCTATATCTTTTACAAGTGCAATAAAGAATATATATATATATATATATATATATATATATATATATATATATATATATATATATATATATATATATATATATATATATTATATATACATATATATAGGGAGACTTTGTACAAAAGTCGTTTGCTCCTCTGTCCCATTCGTGTTTCTACTGTGAAGCAGTTGTGTTTGCATGGCTGTGTTTCGGTTTGAATGGTGGGATATGGCAGTGAATTTACAGAGTACAGGGGAATAACACCTGAGTCCTCAGGAATAGCAACGCATGAGGGGTATCGTGGGCGAAACAGTATACTCTGTTATGTCCATAGTACCGTACATGAATCTAGGCGACGGTTACCACTTTCCATCAGTTGGGCCGTCAACTTGTTTGCCATTCTAAGTTATATAAAAAAAATACCTGGGTATTCGTAATCGTGATCGTCATGAGATATCTTGAATCTTGTAGATGTCTCATCATTTTTAAATTTATATTTTTCTTCTAATAACGTCTTTATGTCGTCTTTACTATTGTAATTGTGGTTTTCTGTATTCGTATGTGAATGACTGTCAAACTCCATGTAACTAGGGTTGAAATCTTCATTGAATACATTTGTTTCATACATAACAGGCTCTAGATGACTTTTGTCTATAACATGGTCTTTTTTACTCGCTTCTAATGAATCTAAATTGACTACAATATCAATAAAAACCATCCCAAATACTGTTGTAACAAAAATGTTGTTACTTTTGTAGAAATCCATTTTTGTTTTGTGTCCACACGTGCATTTTACTACTTCAGTTATGTTTGCAATGTGTCGGTTTGTCTTCGAGTTAATGCGTTTTTGAATGGTACCGATAAAGGATTTTATGTTCCCTTTTATGGCAGCCTTATATCGTAAAGTCGGATGGGATTTTACGGAACATTTTTTATTTATTTACCACATAGTTGGAAGTAGTTTAGATTTATTATTCTCAGACAGTATTTTTTTTTTATATTTAAAAGAAATTTCTAATTAAATTGAAAGAAAGCTGGAAGAGGATGCATAAATTAGTTGCATCGACAAAATGAAACTCTTAAATGAAAAAAAGAAGAATGAGTTTTTTTTTTATACAACTTAGAATGGTAAACAAGCTGACGGCCCACCTGATGGAAAGTGGTAACAATCGCCTATAGACATGAGCAGTACCATGAACATAACAAAGTATACTGCCATTCCTGAGGACTCAGTTGTTATTCCTCTGTACCCAGTAAATTTACGCCATATCCCACAATTCAACACTGGTACCAAGAAACCTTAACGGTAGACTTTTATACAAACTCTGGTAAGAATGAGTAAAAACCTACTTACATAATAAATTAAAAATATATATAACTGACAGTAACTGTAAAGTCTAGTTTATATCGGATTATCATTGATTGCATTTTAATGATTTCTAATGTTTATTAACATGAATTTACCGAGTTTTATCGGTGAATCACTTTACTAAATGTATGACAAGTAAATCAGCAATCGACTTTTGTACTTAGAAAAAGTCTCGCCTAAGCTCTGGTCGCCGGAAAGAATCACTGTCCACAAAAACTATCTACTTACATAATAAATTAAAAATATATATAACTGACAGTAATGTACGGCTGGTTTTAAAACAAAACTGAACTATTATTTAAAGTCTATGTTTATATCGGATTATCATTGATTGCAGTATTTATATATTTTAATGATTTCTAATGTTAATGTATATATATATGTAATGTGTGTGTACTGAGTATATAAATATTTATCGGATAATATTTATATTATTATATGTATCACATCTGAATAGAACACTTTTCTAAATGTGGAAGAGATGACAAATAAATTCATTGTGATTATTTCTTGTAATTATTTATATTTATAATAAGTTTACTATTGTAATCTTTTAGGAAACATTATCCTATCTATCTATGTTTATAAATGAAATTACATTGATATTTGATGGTTAGTATTTACACGAAATATAGTTATTTTATTAGTAATGAAATATAGTTGTCTACTGTATGGATATAAGCTATATAAGAGTTCTGCATATAATTGAAATATTTTATCCATAATTTAGTAAATATAATATTATATATATATATATGTTTTTTATGAAAGGCAAACAAAGGCCCATATATATATATATATATATATATATATATATATATATATATATATATATATATATATATATATATACTTGAACTTGAACAATGTATATAGCGATTAGTTTAACACCTTGTTAGCAAGGGAGGTACCGATAAAGGACTATGTTAAAACCTTTGTATTTGGCCACAATGAGAGAATTCTTTTTAATGGTTAAAAATTAAAAATTTAATATGAAATAAATAGAATTAATCACAATAGTTTCCAGGGGGAACCGCGTGGAGGTCGATCTGATAGGGTGTTGCTAGTTATGGAGAAATTAGACCTCATTACTAATAATCCCTTTCCGCCCAAACTGTCATGTTGGCGGTGTGTCTTCAAAGATTTTTTTTAGGCGATGATGGAATGCTAACCCCGCCTACGCTATCGGTATACGCTGGCGGGGCACCAGTGAGAGATGATAGGTAAGAATGATTAGCAAGTCAGTTGGCTCATCGTGACAAATTCGACAAGAATTAACCACGATGCTTTCCAGAGAAAACTGCGTGGAGGTCGACCTGAAAGTGTATATTGATAGCAACGAGGCTAGTTAGACCTAATTACTATTGCAATCTACGAAACTACTTGGAAAAAATGGGGAGAGCTCGGAAGAACTATCATCAGTCTCTTTTTTAATGGATGGTAATGGAATGGTAACCTACGCTATCCGTATACACTGGCAAGGCACTTGTGAAAGACAATAATCGGGGATGAAAGGAGGCCAGTTGGCCTATCGTGTTGAATTCGTGTCCAAGATGATTTTTAGAGAAACTGCGTGGTGGTCGACCTGATGTACATTAACAATCCCTACTCCTTAGGGGGGAAAGGAATTGTTAGTAATGGGGTCTGCCCAATAGCTAGCAACACATCCTATCAGGTCGACTTTCACGTGGTTCCCTCTGGAAACCATCGTGGTTAATTCTAGTGGAATTCATCATAATGGGCTACCTGATCTGCTTTCATCATCATCTATCAGCTCACTGATGCTCTGCCAGTGTATATCGATAGCGCAAGCGGGGTGACCTTCTGCCGTCCGACAGTCTGTCACCATTCTTTTTTAACTCTAAATGTATTCTAAAATACTAGGAAAACAAAAGTACAACAGAGATTCAAAAGAAAAAAGAGGGAAAACTCATAATTAACTGAGCAACTTTGTCCAAAGTTAATTCGTTACATTAAACTATGCTAATGTTTGGACTTAAATTTATGCGTTTTGTTTCAAACACGAATTTATGCGACGCCAAAACCACTCCGGCGCTAATTTGCATTGCGTACTTTTAAATTTAATTTTGTTTTTTTTTTTTTTTACAATATTTCAGATGGAGCTCTCTATAATACATATTTATCTACGAATCTGGTGTACCTTGTCAGCGTTTGTTTATTACTTCGTAATGTCAACTTATTTCCAAATATATTGCGCAGGAAATGTTCACTCATATGTTTCCTTTTCGAGGTAAAGTAAATAATAATACTTTATAATACTGTACACATTATTATATTAAATAATACATAATAGTATATTGCATTACTTGGTTTTTTCTTATGTATATATATAGATAAATATATAACTAATGATACGTATGTATGTTGTAGGTTCCTCTATCATTAATTGTGCTAGAATCTTCACTTAATTATATATGGATGCACGTCCAGGAGTTTGTACTCTTAAACGCTGATGATATCCTAGTATACGTCGCAGATGAATATAATCTAGACTGGTTCGTATGTCACATATGCTGTGGGAAATCGGACTGCTCTAACATTGTTGCTATCCTGGTATTGAAAATACTAAGTTTTGTTTTGCTAACCGCAGTATGCTCTGTTCTCTGACAAAATGTTTAAAATAAAATTTTGAGAATGTAAAAAAATTGACATAATTTGAACCTGTTTTTAAATAATTTTTTTTTGATTCTACAAGAAAAATATAGCATTCTGTCTATACGGCCAATTTAGCTATCAAATTAGTACGGTGGCTTATACATTTTTTTCTACTGCATTTTGCTCAGTGATAGCTTAATTTATAATATTACTGCATGTTAAATGCTCATTTCTATTCAAGGTTTGCTGGAAGAGAACTCTTACAGAGTTATGCTCGCCTGGTACATCTTCATTTAATATACCATAGTCTAATGTTTTTTTATTTGTGTACAATAAAAATATAAATAAATAAATAAAAATAAATGTCGAACATAATATATACATAATTAATCGGAAACACTGAAAATGTTCAATTGTTTTTTTTTATAAAGTTGTCAAATAAATGCAACGTTATCATACTTTGGTGACTTAAAGAATGCATTTATTTATTTGGCGCACATAACAGAAGTTTACAAATACAAATTTAAACTATAACATGTAAGTACATTAATATATTGTTGAGGTAAACTTGCCACAACATGTGCACACAGCATGATCCAATAATAAATGCGACTGCAACAAAGCCATTCGGTTGCAATTATTAGTGATAAAAATGAAATATAAAAAATAAAAAACAAAACAAAATTATATAAGAAATTTCTAAATATTACATTATTTTATACAATTGTCTGCGATATTGATTATAACCGAGTCCAAATATGTCAAGGTCATTTTGATGAGCGTCATTATATGATCTACACTCGCTATAGGGTTTAAGGCATTAAAAAAATACATAGTTTAAATACACTATCGGGACTTAACGCAATAAAAAATTTTGAAGGTAAATAGTACATACCAATGTCTTTATTGTTGTTTTAAAATATGTGTAAACAATTTTATTGTTAAAAATTTCGTAAGCACACATTATATTTTAATGTAATAACTACCGGTTTGACTTATGTTTAATTAGAACGAAAAAGCTCGACTAGTTTTGGGATCAATACGTGATCCTTAGTCATGAGCAACTGTGACACGAACACGAGCCTGACTGACGATTTCAGGCTCACGCTAAATCTAATATATAAAATTCTCGTGTCGCGGTGTTTGTTACCAAACTCCTCCGAAACGGCTTTACCGATTTTTATGAAATTTTGTGTGCATATCAGGTAGGTCTGAGAATCGGCCAACATCTATTTTTCTTATCCCTCAATGATAGGGGTGACCTACTCCTAAATTTTTTTTTATTTTTTTTTTATTTTTATTTTATTATGATTTAGCATTGAAAAATACATAAAAATTCAAACTTTCACGCTTTTAAGATCACCTCTGTTTTTTAATCGCGATTTTTATATTCCGCAATAAGGTTGCAAGATGACAATCGAATATAATAATTGTAGTACGATACATTTTCATGTATAGTTCTAGAAATAATGTATATGGTAAAACAACGTTTGCCGAGTCAGTTAGTATAACTATAAAATATAATGTGTAAATAACGAAAAAGTTTAAAATTAACTACACACCGTAAAACTATAAAAAAATTATTGAGTCGTCCATTAAGTTGGTTGTAATATTTCGATACAGGAGTGGCGCCCTCAAACGACAATTAGATTGATGTCCCGGCTAGAGTTACAGTTGTTGATACTGCTAATAACATTTACGCGCAAATGGGTTTTATAACGATGCGTAATATCGCTCGCCGTACAGAGAGAGACTGTACAAAAGTCGTTTGCTTGGCCACCTCTATCCCATTCGTGTTTCTACCGTGAAGCAGTTGTGTTTGCATGGCTGTGTTTCGGTTTGAAGGATGGTATATGGCAGTGAATTTACAGGGTACAGGGGAACACTTAAGTCCTTACGAATGGCAACGCATGGGGGGTATCATGAGCGAAACAGTATACTCTGTTATGTCCGTGGTACTGCTCATGTCTATAAGCGACGATTACCACTTTCCATCAGGTGGGCCGTCAGCTTGTTAGCTAATCTAAGTTGCATAAAAAAAATAAAAAAAAAACATTTTATCCACACATTTTTTTTTTCTAATTTCTGAACAGAAACGGACTATATGTTAAAACGTTTGTTTTCAATAATTCATATAAAAATCATCTTTGTCCAAATAAACTTGTTTACAGAAACTTTAAAATAGTAATTTTTCTATTGAGAAGAATCGGCAAGAAATTCAAACTCAATAGTTACTTCTTTTACTTTCGTTACTTTTAATTCTTTTAAATCTCTGTTAACATTATGTGTATTTATTTAAATGTACTATATCTAAAATTTTGATGGGTGAAAATGGTATGGTGGCCCCGTCTGCGCTAACGGGATACACTGGCGGAGCACCAGTGAAGGGTGATAGATGAGAATGAAAACAGTCCAGTTAGCCCATCATGATGAATTCATCAGGAATTAACCATGATAGTTTCCAGGGGAAACCGCGAGGAGGTCGACCTAGTTGGGTGTATTGCTAGCAATGGGATTCTCAGTCTCCATTACTAACAATCCCTTCCCCCCCCCCCCGCACTATATCTAAAATTACATGGTCGTTAAAAGCCAGTGCATGATCGACTAACACCATGCACATTGGTCATTCAAGTAATCGTTTAGTGTGTTTGTTCAATAAGTGTTTTTTTTTTTAATAAATAATTAAAACTTATTAAAAGGCAGATCCAAAATATCCTTCGGTATCTTATTGTAACATTTAATGTCCATTCCCATAAAAGACCTATTAACTTGTTCTAAACGATACTTTGGAACAGCAAGTTTGTATTTGTATCTAGTGTTAAGATTATTAAGATCGCTGTTTGGTGGCCCATTCTATGCCGGGACCACACGGTAGTTCTTTCTTTATATCACTATAAAACGTCAAGATATTGTTTTGAATGTTAAACCGATTTGAACAAGGATCTAACAGCATCGAGTCAAGACTTGGTGGACAGCAGGGCGGTGCGCGAGATTCTTTTAAGTAAATGCACATTATCACCATACCAACTGTTAACTGTCCACTGCTGGACAGAAGCCTTTCCCATAAGGGAAACTGTGACAGCAGTTGCCACGCTTGGCAGACGGGTTGGTCACCACAGTTAAGCTTTAGTGATGTTTTAAGAGGGACGCTGCTGCCCATCCTTTGACCAATAAGCTCCTTTAGTCGCCTCTTAAGACACCCACGGGAAAGGAAGAGGGAATGTGAGAAATTAAAATTAATAAAATTAAAATTAAATGTGGTGCCTTCTGCGAAGAGTTCACCAGGAATCAACCGCGATAATTTGTAGGGACGACCACGAGGAGGTCGACCTGTCAGGCCATATTGCACTCCATTACTAATATTATCTCCCCCTCCCCCCTGCCAACGGTGCCGTTCGTGTCTGTGGGGCGACGATCATTTCTTTCTATCGTCCTATAGGTCACATAAAATATATCGAATCCAGCATCCAAGGCAAAACGACAAAATTACATTGATTGTTGCCTCTATTTTATTTTGATCGAACGTGTGACATTTAAAATCAACCGAGTTATAATAATGTTACCATATAAAAATATTTTCTCCCGAATGCCAATTATAAATCATCATAGCCGTAGAATACTGACGGATCTGACAAATATTACATATATAGATCCGTCAGTATTCTACGACTGTGACGATATCATCATCATGCCAGAGGGAGACTTTGTACAAAAGTCGTTTGCTTGGGTACCTCTGTCCCATTCGTGCTTCAACCGTAAAGCAGTTGTGTTTGCATGGCTGTGTTGCAGTTTGAAGGGTAGGATACTGAATTGTACAGAGGAATAATACCTGAAGAATGGCAACGTTCATGGGCGAAACAGTATACTCTGTTATGTCCATGGTACTGCTCACGTCTATAGGCGACAGTTACCACTTTCCATCAGGTGGGCCGTCAGCTTGTTTGCCATTCTAAGTTGTATAAAAAAAATCATCATTTCAGCCGTTATCTGTCCACTGCTGGACAAAAAAGACTGCCATAAAGAACTGAGCCACCTGATTCCATCACTCATCATTTCATCTACTAGGGAGTCGTTCCTTATCCTACGGCTATATCAGACAAGGTTCTTTTGCAGCTGGAAAGATGCTGATAACTTGAAGCTTTTTCATATGGGCAATCGTGTAGGACCATGTTTCAATTTCTTAGGTCATCACTGACAACACGCACTGACTAAAGATCTTCGTCTTCAAAATTTGAAGTATTGTAGATAGATCGCTAGAGTCTTATAAAAAAAATAGTAATTTATATATATATATATATATATATAAATTACTATTTTTTTTTAAATATATATATCAAATAAAAGAAAACAATCTTGAAAACAAAATTGGAAAGATACTCTTATTCTGAATTTTTCCCCCAACAACAAGCGACGTTGTTGATGGCAACACTAGGTACAAACTGTTGCTGGGCGGGTGGCTGGGGAGAGCCAATCGCTGTGAACGTAACGTTCCTGGCTCCGAGGGTCGAAGAACTAACTAAGAGTTGTTTTTACCATTCTTATACAAATAAAAATGTAAATTTTATTGACATTTTACGACCTAGTGAAAAGATATAATAGAAAACTATAACATCATCATTATCGTCATTGCAATTTCTATTATTATTGTTATATATGTTAAATCTATTGTTGATTATGCAGGTAGCTCAGGACTGTCCCTTATGGCAATCTATGGTAGAGGGGTTATTAGTAATGGAGACTGAGAATCCCTTTGCTAGCAATACACCAACCAGGTCGACCTCCTCGCGGTTCTCCCTGGAAAATAAAATGGTTAATTCCTGATGAATTCATCATGATGAGCTAACTGGCCTGTTTTCATTCTCATGTATCACCCTTCACTGGTGCTCCGCCAGCGTATCCCGTTAGCGCAGGCGGGGTTACCATACCATTTTCACCCATCAAAAAAAATGGCAGACATAATGATGATGATAATTGAATCTAAGTCTCCCTCATAATTTGTCATAAATTACGGTTGTTTACCGTTTTTGAAATTGTAATTTTATTTGTTATCTATTGTTTATTATTACAATCTGGTAGAATATATCGCTAACAATGAAGCTGTTAGATCCCCGTTACTAACAATCACTTTCCCCAACACATGAAGGGTATTATGGGCATTGCATTCTATGGGCATTGCATTCATGGGCATGTATTTTGTAACGTCCATGGTGCTGTTCATGTCTATAGGAGACCGTTATCCCTTTCTATCAGGTGGACACTCAGCTTGTTTCTCATTCTAATTATCATAAAAAAAGGTTACCTCACATGGGATAGTAGGAAATTAGTATGATTTTATGAAAAGCTAAATACATTAAGACACATTATTTTATTGCCTCAATATTTTTAGCAGAATTTATACTCAAACACTACTGCATCAAATTGTTGCGGTTGTATTCCTGAAGATTCAACTTAAAGTCTGTTGTATGTTTTATCTTGACGCGCCTTCCAAAAGTAAATTATTTTATAATTTATAATTTTCCTACTTTTAAAATTCACGGGTATTGGCGGGTAAAAGGCTAGCATGTAATAATCATAAATACCACAGCAAATTGAATGAGCTCCCTGCTGAGTTTTTCCCTAGAGACTACAGTATGGGGTTTTTCAAAAAGGCTATATTAAAGTTTCTTCAGTATCGGTAACGCGCACGTGACACCCCTAGTATTGCAGGTGTCCACGCTATGGTGATCGTTTACCACCATACGGGCTGTATGCTTGTGTGCCACTCTTATGGTAGGTATATAAAAAAAAAGTAAAATTTCATTTCAATTTTCAAAAAATACACTGTATACATTGAAAACTCACGGAATAACACGAAAACAATCACATAAAACAAAGTTTACCCTAACCATTGCCAATACGTTGCCAAAATCGAAAACGAAAACCTTGTGAGGTAAACGTGAGGCGTTAATTACATTTTTAATTAATCTGTATCACAACTCGTATGTATGTAGCGAACTCACCCCGTCCCAACAGGCGTCTCAAGCGTCAGTACTCCCTATACAGTTGGTAAGAGAGGTCGCGTCGCTGCCACGCCGTGATACGCGGGAGATGCACAGGTATGGATAAAATATTTGAAATTTATTTAAATAATTCCTAATATGTTCACCAATGATCAAAATGTAATATAATTTTATTAAACAAATAATTAATTTTTGCAAGAATACAGTGATCGTATTACCAGTAAAAATGTCCTTTTGTAAAAATGTTAAATTATCATGTTTGTTCATTGAATTATGCCCTATAAATATGTGTTTCTACATTGAATCTTTACTAATATTATAAATATGAAAGTGAATTTGTCTATTTGTTACTGTTATAGCGCCTTAATCGCTTAACCGATTACTAAAATTTAATTTACACGTATTTTATGCGACGGAGAAGAATATAGAATACTTTATATACCCATCAAAAAACCATACAAAAAACATGTCACTTTCACGCAGACGAAATCGCGGGTAAAAGCTATTTATTTATAAATAATTTCGCCATGTGGTCCCAGCATAGAATGGACCACCTTTTCCTTCCTTTCCCGTGAATATCGTAAGATGCGACTACGGGAACCTAATGATCGAGGAATGGGCAGCAGTGTCCCACTTAAAACACCAGTAAAAGCCTAACTGCAGTTGCCAGCCCGCCTGCCAAACGTGGCAACTCTTTTATGGAGAAGGCTTATGTTCAGCAGTGGACAGTTAAGGGCTGACATGACGATGTATTATATGATTTATTTACGTTGTGTTATTTTTTTTTAATGGATGATAATGGAATATGTATATAGTATATAATAGTAACCCCGCCTGCACTATCAGTATACACCGGCGGAGCACCAGTGAAAGATGATAGGTGAGGATGAAGCAGGCCAGTTAGTCCATCATGACGAATTCAACAAGAATTGTTCACGATGGTTTCCAGGGGGAACCACGTGGAGGTCGACCTAATAAGGCATATTGCTAGCGATGGGGCTGTCAAACTCCATTGCTAACAATCCCTTTCCCGCCACGTTGTGTTATTGTACAGTAGATAATAGTGGGGGAAAGGGATATTTAGTAATGGAGACTGAGAATCCCATTGCTAGCAATATACCCAACCAGTTCGACCTCCTCGCGGTTCTCCCTGGAAACTATCATGGTTAATTCCTGATGAATTCATTATGATGGGCTAACTGGCCTGTTTTCATTCTCATCTATCACCCTTCACTGGTGCTCCGCCAGCGTATCTCGTTAGCGCAGGCGGAGTTGCCATACCATTTTCACCCATCAAAAAAAAAGGTAATATAGTGGGGGGAAAGGGATTGTTAGTAGTAGGGTCTAACTGACCCATTGCTAGCAATACACCCTATCAGGTCTACCTCCACGCGGTTTCCCCTGGAAACCATCGTGGTTAATTCCAGTGGAATTCGTCACGACTACGTCACGAAGCTAACTGACCTGCTTTCATCCTCACCTATCGTCTGTCACTGGTGCCCCACTAGTGTATACCGACAGCGCGGACGGGGTTACCATTCCATTATCGTCCATTAAAAAAAATAGGTGATAGTTCCCTAGAGAAAACAAAGGCGTGTTTAATTCAATTTTTTGGTGTAATTATGGTTTCAAATTGTATGTTTTCGATGTAAAAATTACCTAATTACTTAAAGAACTATTTTTATATATTTTTTAATACATTTTTCTTTTTAATTACGATTCTATCTATCCTATTTAGGAGCTGCGCTCTTGTCGGTGGAGCTCTTGCCACTCACTACGATTTTCAGCGAGTCTCTTCACCTCTTGATACGACACGACACCGACTCCTTCCTTGATCTGCCTGATGTAACTATGCCTCGGTCTCCCTCTCCCCCTCCTTCCTTCTATCTTACCTTCTATTATAATGTTCATAAGTTCGTCGTGTTGTATCAAGTGTCCCAACATTTTTCCCTTTCTGTCCACAATAGTTCTAATAATTTGTCTTTTTTCCTTAACCCTAAGCAGGACCTCCTCATTGCTAATTCGATCCCTCCAGCAAATTTTCTCCATCCTTCTCCAGCACCACATTTCAAAGGGTCTAAGTTTAATTAATATTACAAAATAATATTTTATTTATCGTACATGTTTAATACTCGTATATTGAAAACGGTATTTAAGTAACTGTTATGGAGAATTAATGGTTTACATCGATGGGAAAATATATGTCACATATATATGGACATTGGATATATATGTACCAGAGGGAGATTTTGTACTAATGTCGTTTGCTTGGGCACCTCTGTCTCATTCATGTTTCTATTGTGAAGCAGTTGTGTTTACATGGCTGTGTTTCGGTTTGAAGGGTGCGATATGGCAGTGAATTTACAGGGTACAGAGAAATAACACCTAAGTTCTAAAGAATGGCTACGTATAGGGGGTATCATGGGCGAAACTGTATACTCTGCTATGTCCATTGTACTGCTCATGTCTATAGGCGACGGTAACCACTTTTCATCAAGTTTGCCGTCAGCTCGGGTGCCATTCTAAATTGAATAAAAAATAATATATAGTAGGTGTCACAGTATATATTACTGTGATGTAAAAGGAATTGTAATCAAATGGGCACTCGAGAAAATGTCATAATATTACACTAGCTACCAGGGAACCATCGAGTCACGAGAGCACATTAAGGACGTATGCCGTTTCAAGGGATGGTAATAGAATTGGATCGCGACGAAAGCGTCTTTCATCTCGATTGAGTGTATACCTACCTATTTATATCTATGCGCCCCTAGTGATTACGCTTTATTATCGCCATGAGTGAGTTTGTATTCCGATCAATTTACCGTAAATAATATCTGAAACATGATTGTATGGTATCCAATTATCCATTGCTGAACATAGCCTCCCCATAGGTGGTTAACAACCGCAGTAAGGCTTTTTTTTAATGGGTGAAAATGGCATGGTAACCCCGCCTGTGCTAACTGTATACACTAGCAGAGTACCAGTGAGAGGTGATAGATGAAAATGAAAAGGCAGGTCAGTTGGCCCATCGTGACGAATTCAACAAGAATTGTTCGCGATGGTTTCCGGAGGGAACCACGTGGAGGTCGACTTAATAAGGCATATTGCTAGCAATAGGGCTGTCAAACTCCATTGCTAACAATCCCTTTCTCCCCCACACCGCCTTCTTTTTTTTTAGAAATGATTGATAAATGTCAGGGTTGTTTATAAATTCTAAACGCGTACAAATACCCAGAGCTTGGCACTATGGCCTGAATAAGATATACAACCACGTGTATGTAATACCATAAAAATATATACTTATATTGTGTATACTTGATAAATGTATCGCAATTCGTGTGATTCAACGGGAACGTTTTATTTTGTTAAGACTTTTAGGTAAAAAGCGAATTCAAATTATTTTATTGCACGAATATAAATTAATAATAATGATTATTTTTTTATGCACCTTAGAACGGCAAACAAGCTGACGGCCCATCTGATGGAAAGTGGTTAACTGACTTGTTTCATCCTCACCTATCATCCTTCACTAGTGCCCCGACTGTGTATAACGATAGCGTGGGTGGGGCCACCATTCCATTATCATACATTAAAAAAAAACACGACAGTGTTTGTTTTACTTTTTGTATGTTCTCATTTCTTGGGACTACCGCTGTTCGTGCAACCCGTTCGTTTCTACCACGTACATCTGAATTGAAGTACCGTCTTATGTTTTTCCTCTACAATACTATATGGGGCATTTCAAAAACTGCCTACAAACATTTACAAGGCAGGCAACGTACAAGTAACTCTACTAACGTTGCAGGTGTTTATTGACGACGGTAGCCGCCTTCCATCAAATAGACCGTCTGTTCGTTTGCATCACCAACGATAAAATAATAATAATAAATTTATTTGCGTTAAAGTATTCTGACACTTCCCTACTGGTTGACTGGGAGAGAATGCTTTTAGCATTAAGTCCACCATGTACACATATTTGTACTAATGAATAAATAAATATGATAGGTATCGTTTGTCCTATATTACATAAAGCTTCGAGTCTGTTTAGCCATTTACAGAATATGCAAATGTCACATTTTGGCGGGAACTGATTAATTCATGCATCTAGATGCCATAGATGCATGAATTAATCAGTTCCCGTAAATAAATATTGTTAATATTCATCTCATAGCCACTTGTCAACATCATTACTTTATTTTCCATAAAGTAGGTTAATTTAATTGTACATAGATATTTCACCCTGTTTCTATCTTTCGCACTGGACGTACAGACATGACAGCGACGTTTACTTCACACATTCATTTCTGCTGTCATTCTCTCATTATATGTGAATCAATAATATAATCAAGTTAGTTGTTATTTATTTCCTCCAAACAACTACATATCGACAACAACTATACTAGATATTTATTTTGAAAATTGGATAATTTGATAAAAAATATGTTCTATTATACAACCAATTGTAATTTCGCTAGTCCTAAATCAAATTATGATGATTTTTTGCAATCAATATACTATCGGATGATAGACACTCGATTTTGAGTTCTAAGTTTATATATATATTTTTTTATACAACTTAGAATGGCAAACAAGCTGACGACCCACCTGATAGAAAGCGATAACCGTCGCCTATAGACATGAGCAGTACCATCGACATAACAGAGTATACTGTTTCGCCCATGATACCCCCCATGCATTGCCTTTCCTGAGGACTCAGGTGTCATTCCTCTGTACCCAATAAATTCACGCCATATCTCAACCCTTCAAACCGAAACACAGCCATGCAAATACAACTGCTTCACGGTAGAAACACGAATGAGACAGAGGTACCGAAGCAATCGACTTTTGTACAAAGTCTCCCTCTGGTGATATTTCAAACAATGTATCTATAAAACATCTCGTCACCTATCAGTGTATTTTATATTTTTTTTTATCATTATCATATCATGTCAACCATTAATTCTTCACTGCTAAATAGGGCCACCCATAAATAGGGGACTTGCCAGTAGTTGCCGCGTTTAGCAGTTGGGTTGGCGACCGCAGTTAGGCTTTTGGAAATGTTTTAAAGAGGTTGTTCTACCATTAAGTTCCTT